AAACCCGGACAACACAAGACTTCGTTCACAAACCGCTTGCTGTACGGCCGTTTTAATTCATGCAGCACGATATCTCGGCAAAATATATGGGAAGTGTCACCAACAAGGGTGGTGACCCACTCCGCCAATGTCCTACCGATCACGCATGTTCTCTGCCGATGTCCTACCGATCAAGCATGTTGTTCAGCAACAGCGCATGCATGCGCACACCGCATGCATGCGGTGTGTTCCGTTTTCCTCTCTAAACTGATATTTTCTTACTCCTTAGGTGTAATGAGAGTCCTCGGTATTGTCTGCGGAAAGTTGCGAGCTGTTGTAAAGTCGAAGTACTTATGAGAGGGGTTGCCAGAAAACAGCTGCCTGCTCTCCATGCGACATCGGTCCAACAACCCAAAGGGCATGAGGCCAGGACAGAGGAGGCGCTGCATTGCAACACACCGTGGTGCCACTCGAGCTGCAACGCAGCTTCACAAGCTTGCACCACCAAGCCCTATGTGTGTATGCAGTTAACACTATAGACGATTGTTGAGCACTCGCTTGGCCCTCGTTGCCAGCCTGACAGATGGGAATTGAATCTACATGTTGTAACTCCGGCTACAACGCATTCCAGCAGGTAAGCATTCCAAAGCTCCCCATTTGACTCATGCACATAGACAGTAAACGATTCTTACACTTCCTTAGCCCGTACTAGTAAGCGTGCGAGCCGGTGTAATGCGCGTGCCGACTCCCAGCAGAAATACTACCTAAAGCCAGTTTCCGAGTCAGGGGAGGGAGTAGAAAGAGCTACAAGCAAAGCTGTAGGCGTTGATCTATACACTTGAAACTGTGGGTCATGAACAGCAATGTGTGCATTCGGTTATTGCTGCAGCAGTTCTAAAACACTTCAACTGCAGTCTTGTAGTAGCGGACGCCTGCAATCTTCAAGACTAACATGAAGCGCTAAGTACGTCGCATACACTCCCTGCAGTGCCTATGTTTTTCAGAAGATNCTTCAAGACTAACATGAAGCGCTAAGTACGTCGCATACACTCCCTGCAGTGCCTATGTTTTTCAGAAGATAATTCAAACGCCGCATAACCCTTGCTTAGAAGGACCATTCGTTTCTCAAACCCAACGACGCGTTACCCACGTGCGTACACACCTCCAACCCCTGGCCACGGGGGGAAGTTGCTTGGAGGCTGATTGGGCAATACCCTCGTTAACATGCTCACCAGTGAGTAAAACAAGGGTTTTTTTGTGTTTTTAAAACACACTTAAGGCTAGAAATAGCCACGGTGAGGCAGCCGCGGGCTACTGCTTCCGGGAGAACCAACAAACGCTCTGTAGCGTGCAGCTGCGCGCCGCCGCCGCGGACTGCAGCGGAGGTCTGCAGAGCCAGCGAGTGTTCCTGCAACTTTTCTGTTCCATTTACTATATTTATTGTGACAATTCCTGAGGAGAACATACGTTAGCGAAGGTCAGAGAAGACCCCGACGCTCAGTTTGACGGCGCCATCGTACTGCCGTCTCGAGCGGCCGCTGTTCCTTTCTGATCGGCTGGCGGTGCGTAGCTCAACAGACTACCCCGTGCCCTTTTCGATTTTCGCGTCAACAACAGATATTTAAGAACTCCTGAAAGGGAGTTGTGCTGCCGTGGGAAGCTTCCGCGTCCCACTGGATCCCCGCCTGTGCCCACACCTCAACTCCGTGGCGTCCGCGAACGAAGCGACCTTCAAGACAGCTGCGGCCGCTGCCGTTGCAAATCACAAAGTCTCACTCTCTCTTCAGCGCCGGCTAGGAGGCATCATTGTGCATAATGACTGAGGAAACACCCAGCAGCGGAGGCCCTGCAGCTGGAGGTGCAGGTGGCGCCCCGGCAGCTCCAGCAGGCAACAAGAAAGCAGATGCCAATGCAGCGGCAAATCAACCACCTAAGAAGAAGAGATCCCCCAACCGGCTTGTGGTGGAGGAGGCTATCAATGACGACAACTCAGTTGTTGCTCTGAACCCCTCCCGTATGGAAACCCTGCAGATTTTCAGGGGCGACACGGTACTGCTTCGCGGCAAGATGCGTCATGACACGGTGTGTGTCGTCCTGGCGGATCAGGATCTTGACGAGGGGAAGATCAGACTTAACAAGGTGGTTAGGAAGAACCTCCGCGTTCGACTTGGAGGTGCGGCATATATACTCTGCACCCCACACATGTGTTTGTTCTTGGGCAGTCGGTGATCGCGGTGCAGAGGCGCCACTTAATGTGCTCGCCCACCTGTATGTTTCTGTGTTTGCTTCTGGGAGCCACACCTCTTGTGCGTTCTTGTGGTGGGTGACGATGCAGATATTGTCCACGTGAGCGCATGTGCGGACTGCCCGTATGGGAAGCGAATTCACGTCTTGCCACTTGACGATACGATCGAGGGGATAACGGGTGGGCACGCCCTTCGACGCGTTTACTGACAAGTCCTGTCTGCAACTTAGTACTAGCATGCATAAGACCTACATGCAGACTGAAGCAGGTGTCTCTACAGGGGGGCATGGCGAGGTTGTGTGCAGGCAATTTGTTCGAGATTTACCTCAAGCCGTACTTCATGGAGGCCTACAGGCCCGTGCGAAAGAACGACTTATTCCTTGTCCGCGGCGGCTTCAGACCGGTTGAGTTTAAGGTATGTAGACGGCACGCTTGCCAAGCGGTGATTGCGTAGGCGTGAGGTTNTTCAGACCGGTTGAGTTTAAGGTATGTAGACGGCACGCTTGCCAAGCGGTGATTGCGTAGGCGTGAGGTTATCCCTGCAGGGCTGTGCGTTTATAACTTAAGTGAGTGTCTTGTGTTGACTGCGCGGCTGACTTGATCAAATAATTGTGTTGAGTTTTGTGCTCGTGGGAAATGGAGGAGGAGCGTACGGAGGTACCGGGTGGATATGGGGTTGATTTTCCTACCTTGTAATCACGTGCGCGGGCTTCAGTGCCGCGCCGGAGGACACTGTAGTGTATGGGCAATGCGCGTTGATTGCGTTTGCTGGAGTGGTGGAACTCGACTGGAGCGGCTTTTTGAAGACAGAAATGCCTGTTTCCCTCTGCAGGTTGTCGGGGTGGACCCGGGTGAATTTTGCATCGTGGCACCGGACACTGTCATCCACTGCGAGGGCGAGCCTGTGAAGCGGGAAGAGGAGGAGAGGTTGGACGAGATAGGCTATGAAGACATCGGTGGGTATTCTTTTAGGGTTTAGGGCAAAGCCCCCTCTTTGAGCAACAGCGCCCAAATCCGGCCTGGCGGCAGACCGGCTTTGGATGCTGCTGCTCGGCCTCCAAGGACGGGCGGTGACAGGCATAGCGGCCTCGCTGATGCGGCCGCTGGACAGCAGACCTAGACAGATGTTTGGTTAGATTGTGGAGGGGCAGCATGCGGGGAGACAATGTCAGGGTTTGCTGTTTGTGGGCCTGCCGTCATTTCTAGGGCGTCGCGATCAATATGTTCATTGGTAGTTTTGTGCCGCATTTGTTTTAGGCGGAT